CGGGTCGGCGGAGGCCGGTCCCGGGCGCGCTCGGCTCGCAGCCCGCTGCAACCCTGCGTGCGCTTGGGTAGTAAATATTGTGGAGCGGTTCCGGGGGTTTGCCAAACACCGCGATTGTGCGGAAAGTGACACGATTTGCTCGGATTCTTTCCTTCCTGCTGTTCGCGACTAAGGATCCCTGTCTAGGTTTGCCGGGGGGCGTTTAAAAAAAAAAATTAGGAGAAAACCACCGTATACTTTGGGGGTGTGTCTGGGGTCCGAGAACCGAGGCAGAGTGAGAGAATTCAGTTTATTTTCCAGTTTCCCCTTCTCCCTCCCGCCCTCCCTCTCATGGGCAGCGGGGCTCGTGGCACTGCTTCCCTGCGCGGGATTAGTTGCCAGGGGAGCAGCCGGGAGTCGGGGTGCACGGACCCCAGAGATGCCTCCGCCCCTCGCCGGGAAAAATTGATCCACAACTCTTTTGTTTTCCCAAACCCCTTCGGACTGACGAGCCGGGTGTTCGGACGCCGGTTTGCTGGCCGGGGCGCAGCGGAGGAGCCGGGTCTGGGGGACAGCTCTCGCTTGGGGGGTGCGCGCGGAAATTGCAAGTTTGTTGGGAGTCGAGGGAGCGCGTCGTGTTCACGTCCAAAGCTCTTGCACTCGGCGCGGGGCTAGAGCAGGGCCCCGGGCTGAGCTGTACCCACAGCCCAGTGCCACAGCCGCAGGGGACCGGGGCGAGGCTTGACCATGCGGGTGGCCGGGGGTGGGGACGCCGGCCGGGACTACGGCGGAGCTCCCAGGTGCCACGGCCGCAGGGGACCGGGGCGAGGCTTGACCATGCGGGTGGCCGGGGGTGGGCACGCCGGCCGGGACTACGGCGGAGCTCCGCTCGTCCCGAGGATAGAATCAGTCAGGAGTTGCTTAAGCCGGGGTTTACTCTCGGGGCTTCTCGAACTCTCGGCCGAGAGAAGAAGGACGAGCGCGGACCGGCCTCCTTAGAGCAACCGTAGGGCCACGGCCATCCCCACTTGGGGCTTATTGGACGTGTCTAAGCTGTCCTGCCCGGTGGATGTCGGCGGAGATAATCGAGTTCTCTGAAACGCCGGAGGAGCGGTTTTGACGCCTAGCTCCAGCTTGGTGATAAACCTGCCTGATATTCACAGCCCCGCAAGCAATTCCATGTCTGCCCCTCGGTGAATTCCACTGGATAAATCGGTAGGACTCCTAAAATTTGCCTGGTGGCGAGTCATCATCACACAGCTTTTTTACGTGATACAGAGGTATTTAGAGCGCTGCTTCCCCAGCCCCTGGGCTCCCCACCACGCAACCGACTCGCAGCCTTGAGTCTTGGTCAGTCATGATGCGCGCGCGCGAATGCGCGCGCACGCACGCACACACACACACACACACACACACAACTGTGAGTTGAGTGAACCACAGATATCACCCCGTGGAGAAGCTCCTTGATGCTGTGCACAGTGTGCGACCCAGTAGCAGGGATGTGCTGAAGACGTTTAGGCAAGTTCGAAACGAGGGGGATCCAGTCTTGAGCAAGGCAGAAAGGCTTTTCATCATTCAGAGAGACTTTTAGCTCGGGGCAAGTTAGAAGGCACGGGTAACTTTGGCAAGAGAAGTTTGTGTGCTGAAGTTTCATTCTCAATTGGTAACCTTTTATTCTAAAATCTGATTTGCCTTTATAAGCAAATATTTTGTGTTTGTAACATTTTCTTTTGCTTATGACACTATTATTGATACTAATAAAAATAATGAAGTAGTAATCCTATCTTGGATAGTAAAGACATATTCCACAGTAGTAACCAAACCAAAAGGTCAGAACCATTCTGGCAATGAAACATCCTGTTAAATTTATCAGTGATTTTAGGCTCCAGAAAGAAGGTAATGACTTGGATACAGGTATCACTTGCTATTCTTATGACAGTAGGGTCAGATTTAATTTAAAAGCTAAATGCTTTGGAAAATCAAGAATTACTTCAATATATTAAATCATTTTCCAATTAAGAGCTTTAAATAATTTTAGTGGGTTGTGCTGTGAATAGAATAAATTAATTTAAAAAGTCTTCAGAATTTCTTTACCAGCTCACTGAAGTTCCTTTTAAGTCACCCGGTGTTTGAGGAGCAAACTGTTCTTTTTAAATGCAAATTAGCTACCCTTTCTATAGACTAGTTGCACGTCTTCTATTTAACTTATCCAAGGAATAATGGATTTTTAAAGATGCAAAGTCAGAAGATGTACTTCCCATAGTAAGAAGAGACTTCATGGAAATGTTTCTCACAGGATGCCTTCTCCTGCTCTTATCCATCAGATATATTTGTCACTGAGTCCTAATAATATTAAATGTCCTGAGTAGGCTTGCTGGACCCCAGAAAGCCCAAGCACTAGTGTTTCCTAATCCATCATGATTACTCTTGGTACAAAATTTCTGTCCAGCTCTACATTTTTCATTGCTTCGAATGTCGTCAACCAGTGTTCATTTTTGCAATGACTCAAATGGATTTGCAGGGATATGAGGGAAGGGCAGAAGTTTGGAAGAGATCAAATAAGAAATCTGTATCTACATTTAGTAAAAACAGGTTGGAGCATGCTTCCTTAAAAGAGACAAGATTGCATTGTAAACCTTGTATCTTTCAGAGGTGCAATGAATTTGTAGTTTATTGCAAGAAACAGTCACTTTGTCAGGTTATTTGTTTTTAATAGGGTGATAAGATCATAAATTACTAATTATCTTTATTTTAAATCTGTCAACACGTTGCTAGTTAAAGTTGGTGTGCTAAGTCCCAGCAGAACTGGTATCTTTCTGTGCTTCAGTGTCATTAAGTTGTCACTAGTTTCCCCAATGCCATTTTTTTTTCAATGTCAGAGGAGACCCAAATGGAGAAAAGGAATATCCTTTTCCTGAAGCTTTTCTAAACTCAAATGTGGAGGTTTTACTCTGCTGACACTTTCTAGCACTGCTGCTCCCTAGGATGCCAAAGCACAACTTACATTTTCAGTTAATAAACTGTAGGAGGAATTTTGTGGAAACAGTTTAATCTAGTATTGCTCTCTCGTAAAAGCATATCACGTTATGAACACATCACTGTGCAAACTGGCCTCCATTTTCATGTAGCCCATTGAGGGAGAAAAGTAAGAACAATGCAAATGATCTTGATTATGGCAACTGTCGGAGGCATCTCTCATACAAACAGCCACAACGGATGGCATGCTGCTGTATGTAGGTCAGCCTGTGAAATGCAGTGTAGCTCATAGACTGGACAGAAGCATGTAGGCTGGAAGTGCAACTTAAAGCATGGTTATATTTCACATTTAGAGATGGATACCACTGTCAAGTTTCATCTAATTAAGACTATTTTAAGTAACATTATATCCCTTAATTGAACTGAATGTTACCAAAAAAAAGTGGGGTAGAGGTGGGAAGGAATTGAAATGAATAACATGTAGGCTGGAAGTGCAACTTAAAGCATGGTTATATTTCACATTTAGAGATGGATACCACTGTCAAGTTTCATCTAATTAAGACTATTTTAAGTAACATTATATCCCTTAATTGAACTGAATGTTACCAAAAAAAATTGGATTACAGGAGCTCAGGATTGGAGTTCAGTAGTAAAATACAGTCACATTTTTTGTTCTAGTTGAGGTTGTCAGAGGATCAGTTTAAATATGTACCTACAGAGTAATAACAGTTCCTTTCAGTTTCTTAGTGCAGTGTCATTTCTGAAGATTGTTTTCACTGATTTTATACTAAATTGGGACAAAGAAGTAGCACTTTTTCATTTTTACAATGATGTGATGTGTTCAGTTATAGCTCAGTATCTGCCCACATAAGGAGTAGTAATACAATTATGTTATGACATGGCTAATGACAGGGAGGCTGACCTCCACCGGCAGTGGGAGAGGAAATAATGGTCTTTACTGTTCTCAGTGGCTGCTTCTGTGGAATATCAGGTCCTGAATTTTTCTTTGGTTGATTTAGACACAGAGAAGTCCAAAACACAAACCCATGCTTAAGACTAGCT